TTTGTTTTGAAAATATTGATGAAATTTCTCCAGATCGCATGTAATTTTGACAACACAATGCTATGTGCTATACGGTGAGGTGAAATCAAAATTTTACTCCAAATTTATTGACAATTTTAAGTTTTATCGAAATTAAAAAAAAAGTACTTTCTTAATGTAAGTAGGTCACAATTCATTAGTTACGATCATCAATACAATTTACAATTAGTAAGTACTTACTTAAAATCTTAAATTAAAAATTTATTAAGAAAACTAAGTACATATATAACATTTACCGCCGCTTTGTGTCGCATAATAACTAAGCCTTTACATTTGTCCGCCAAAATAAATGTGTGTATATTAAAATTAATTGACTAATTTTTGATTAAGTTTAATAGAATTGTACTTAATCAAGTAGATATATTAGAATTATTCAAATAGATTTATGTTTGCAATTCAAATGACAATTTTAGCAAATAAAATAAAATTATAACCAAAAACCAACAGACGGAAATTCGTAATTGTCAAAAATTTGATATATGTATGTGTGTTTACGTTTTTTCTTGTTGAATACAAAAAAAAAGATTAACCTTAACCCGTCTACTACGCGGTATAACTATGCAAATAAAAAACAAACAAAAGCGTTGGAAAAAAATAAATATAAAAGTAAGATTTGTTGTGTTTATAAATGAACGTATTAAAATGTAAAGGTTATTTTACTGACTTTTATACAATAAAATTAAAAAAAAAATACGTTGGTGATTTTTACATTTTTTACGTTTGCCAATATTTTTTAAATACAAAGAAAACGATAATGAATAAAATGTGTGTAAAATAAGCACCAGTCATGTTGATTTCAAAATTTGCTCATAATCATTACAAGGGATATATATATATAAATATATATATATCGACAAAAACATTGATATATATATATATATATGGATATGTATATTACTTGACCACTACTCCAAAACACAATAAAGCCGAAGTAGTATGTGAGGCTCCCAACATTAAAAAATTTCTTATAATTACGAATTTGAAACGATTCTCTAAGAATAGGTCACGAGTTATAAGATAATCGATATACTTAGTGCTTTCCAAAATCTTATACAATTACTTTCTTATACAAATATTGAGAATTACTTTCTTATACAATTATCCTAGAAAATTTAAATTCAATAATGAGGAGGCTGAATTTAACTAAAGTCAATAAATTATTGTTTCACTATAAGTTGTTTCTATTATCCCGTAACAAGAAAGATGACAGTATCCCGTAAGTAAGAAAAACCAAATTGGAGACAAGACAAATTTAAAACAAGTTACTGTAAGACAAAAGAAAATACGCACAGAAACAATAGCGCAAGTAGTACGGTTCATAAACCAATAACCACAATTCAAAACAGGTGCAAGGTACAAAATTAAGCAACTCTCGAAATTAAGTCAAATAAAATTTAAACACGTCTTATGCTTACTTTCAATTATGATTTTTTTTTCCTCGTCGATTTAAAAAACTTAAAATTAACATCAATGAATGCTTTATCGTATTTTTTATTTTCTAATAATTTCAAAATATAAGAGTAAACTAAAAATAGAAATAGATCTAATAATAAATCTGCATCGATTTGTAAAAGACGAAAAAAATTGCAAATTCAAATATAGAAAAGTACAAACAGACAAATCACAAAATATAAAAAAAAAAAATAGCAAAAAATTGTAATTGGAGCATTCACAATGCGACTAAGTTAGCGGAAATGTGTTCGAGGTTATTTGCTATATAGAAGCACATGGATGTACGTATGTGCATACGTTTATTTGCACATCAGTAATTAATTTTATACGTGCTTATATACAAAATGTGTAGTTATGAAGTCTAGTGTATGTTATTATGGTGGTCTACAACACAACTGGTCAAATTTTCAAGAAAACTTTGTGTGAAAAATTTAAAGACAATATGAAGAAAAAAAGGTCCGTCTGAAATTCTTAAAAATGATTGGTTGAATGATCACAAAATTAAATACAATATTCAATATAAAAAACTTAGATGACAGTATTTTTTATGAGTCAAATGAAATTAAAGTAAAACCAATTTAAAATTAAGATTCTAGATTAAGATTAAAAGACGAATAATTGAGAAATTTTTTGAATAAGTAGAATAAGTAATTACTTATAAGTATACTTAAATAAATCAAAAAATGATTTGAACTCATTAAAGTAATTACAAGTAGAAGAAAATTTTTATAGAAACCAGTTGAATATTAAAAAAATTCCACCAGCATTTTGTAGACCTGATTTATTACACTTCATGTAAGCCTAAGCATTTAAACTCCTCAAATACAAATTCCAAAAATTTTAATTTTATAAATTTTATTCTAAAGAAAACTTAATTTCTTAATGATTACTAAAATCTAAACTATTGTTCAAATTATTTGATAAAATATACTTATATGTACAAAATTTTTGAAAGGTGAGTTTAGTATCAACTAAGTAGATCGGCTATTAAGTAAGTAAGTAAGTTTAAACATTCTACTGATAAATTTATTATAAATAAGTAAACTGATAATAATTTACTTACTTTTTTATAAAAACTACATAGTTAAACTGAAATTATCAAATATCAAGCAATTAATTGTAGATAAAATAATAAAAATATAACGTAATAATTTTAATTACGTTAAAAATTACCTAAGCATCAGGTTTATATATGCATTCTCTTACGCAGTTATACATATCGTATAGTTAGAATGGAACTATTGTAAGCCAAATCTGATTTTATTGGTACTTAACCTACAGAAAATTTATTTTGAAAGCGATTTTCGACTAAAATTAAATTGACGCTATCAAAATCTAAGTCAAATTGTTCATATCAAATAAAATAAAAAATTTGAATGAAATTGAAAAATTTGAATATTAGACTTAGAATAGTTTTGTTTTAATGTAGCGACAATAAACGTAAATATTTTTTAATCACTACTTATTTGATTATAAAGTTTAACATAAGCACTTATATAAATAATAGTCGCCCTCTAAATATGCTTATACATAAGTACAGTAAGTATGTATTAAAAGTAATTCAAATTATTTCTTTTCGTTTCTATTGTTTTAAAATAAATTTTCACTAAAAAAACTTAATAATTATTACAAAAACTTTGTTGGTACTTAAAAACTTGTTTCTAATTAAGTACAGGTTTTTACAAAATTATGAAATCGAACGTGTGTGCCTTTTACTGATATACGTACATATATTGTATGGGTAATATACTTATTGTTTAAATAAAATCTTTGAACTTATTGAGTAAGTAATTATGTACATAATTACCTTCAAAATACAAACTCTTTAACAATATTGTTATCGAACAGTAAAAATAAGGTAAAAAATATATTTAATAGGAGAAGAAAAATTCCAAAAAGAAAGTATGTATGTAGAAAATATGCAACAAATTCATTAAGTATAGGAAATTTTAAGTTAAACCTATGATGTTACCAATAACTGTAGGACAAATTGTACCCGTAATAAATGTACAATGTACTGATGTGTATATTGCCTTTACAGAAATGCTACGCTTTTCGGATTACTTATGTACTAATATAATACATATATTTTGCACGTACATTGTAGGAACGTGAAACTAAAATAAAATTAACAATAGATAATGTTAATTACATGTATCTCATTTACTTACAACAAGCACTACGAATCATTTGAAGCAATGCGTTAATACTTACTACTATAGTAAATTAAGTATGCATATTATTTACGTATATAAGACCAAATACAATGCCATACATGAGACATATGGCCATTTGAGACTATTTATGAGTTACTAATAAACATTAAAAAACTTGAGGCTTAAAAAATAAAAAAAGTAATTTTATTGTAGCAAGTTTTCAAAAAACAAACAAGTATATTAGTACTAAGTAATTAATAACTGATTTCATACAAAAAAAATTAACAAGATTTTTAAAAAATTTTTTTTCTGAAGTTTTATTTTTTTTCTCTAATTTACGTTCAGTATTCGTTTAAACAAAAATATTCCTAAAATTTAAATAATTAACTACTTACACATACATATTATATATATATATACACCTGCTTCATAAAAACCTGGATTACAAAAACCTGAATTCGGATAACATATTGATTATTTAAAACAACATTTTTGTTTCTATATGTAGCTAAGTATATATATATGTATATATGTATAAGTATATACACATTTTATAAGCATTAGAAATATGATCCTTTTCAGTCTGGAACTGCTTTCAAATCAAAGCAATACTAATATTATGAACTTTAAAGAAGAGAAAGGTAAATATGAAGAGGACACAATAATTTTAAATAAATTTAATACTTATAATAATTTTATTTAAAGATTCAATTAAAACACACATGTGAGAAATTATGAGATAAAACAAAAATTTCCTTGAAAAGATAAAAATTTCATGAAATTTCTTAAGTAAATTAGTACATAGAAATTGTAGGTTAATAATTTGGGATAATGATGCACCGCAACCTATTGTACCTAAGTGGGCAATACCTTTTAATAGTATATATCGCATTTTGCTTACTAAACTCTTTAAATGTCTAATTAATAATAATTAAACCCAATTTTCATATAACATAAAGAAAAATTTAAATTAAAGAACAAATTCACAAAAACTTAAGTATTCTATGAAACTTAAAACTAAATTTAAAATTTTAAATGAAAATAGTTAAGAGCATTCTAAAATCCAAAAGAAATGAGTTGAATGCACCATATTAATGTGGCAATTCAAAGAAATTTAACAAAGTTCTAAGGGATCGATTTGAATAGTCTTTTTAAAATCTTAAAACAATCAAAAGATAAATTGAGATCAAAAGTAACTCATATAGCATAGTAAAAAAAACAATTTTATCACAAAGTGAACAAACTTGAATATATTAATTAAATAAGTATATATATATATATATATATATTTAGTACATATAGAAGATATGTATACTTATCAAAAATTGTTTGAAAATTTTAAATTTTACTTACCACAATGGGCCAAATCGATTATTGGAATTTGGCTTTTAGATAACAGTGTATCTACTTTATCATCTGTTGGTTTTTTTAGCATTTTTAAAATATTTTTAGTTTTTTGTTGTGTGTGTGTGTTTTTTTTTTTTGTATGTAAAATTTATATAGTATGTATAAATAAAAAAGTTTAAAAAAAAATGTTTTCAAATAAAATTATTTTTAGAATATTAAAAGAATAATAAAATTATATGTGCACACACACACACACACACACACTTGTATATTATATATATTAGACAATTATTTCTTTTCACTTCTTAAATACTTATTTAATTTATGTACATTATATACTTATATATATATATATGTATATTGAATTTGTTTAATATTATAAATTTTATAATCACAGTTTATTTTTTTTTTAATTAAATACTTAGTTAAAATTAAAATGTTGCCAAAATTTTTTTTAAAATAATAAGTATTGGTACTTAATTATTAAAAAAAAGGAATACTTAATAGCTTTTTTTTTAAATTTTTACTTTTTAATTAATTAATTTTTATTTTTTTTTTTATTTTTTTTAATTAAGCACAAATGAACAACTACCACATTAATATTTTATGAGTAGAACAAGTTTTCTTAAAAAAAATTTATTTTTTATAAAAAAATGTTAAGGTAAAAAATGTTTAGCTTAAGTAAATCAATAATTAATTTAAAAAAAATATAAAAGTTAGGCAAAAAAAGAAAATACTCCTGAATGATATAGTCTCATATATATGTATATAGGAAGGTACACAACTGTACAAACACTACAAAATTAAATTGTATATTATTTTTTTATTGTTAATACTTAATAAGTAAATTTTTTTATATTCATAATTCCAAGATGAAAACAAAACGTAAAAAACCAAATATTTAAATAATTTAAAATAAACTTAACTTTTTTCCAAAAATATAAAAAAAATTATTAGAATAAATGTTTTTGCGTCATTATTTTCTCGAATTTAATTATCAAAAAATTCAACTCAATTCGTAGGAGCATCTGTAAATTTTTTTTTTTTTTTCCTTGGTTCAAATAAAATTAATTTTCAACAAAACCTTAAAAAACAAAATATATGTATATTAGAGGTTAGTTTGCGTCATAATCCGAACTTTCTCACTTAAATCCCAAATAAAATAAAATATTTCACTCTGATTTAACCGAATAAATCCGATTATAACAAAAATTTGAATGCAAAATTAAAAACCTGTATAATTTTATTTGATATTTATAATCTAGAAACTTTAAATCCAAATAGTATTTAAAGTAGTATTTTTTGGACGTACATACATATGCATTTTTATGAAATTTCACGATATGCACACATATAACAAAAATTCTGTAATGTTTAAACCTGAGTTTTGTATTTATGCAAGTAAAAAAATATGTCTCTAGTTGTATAACTGAAAGAGGGAGTAGAGTAATTTGTACAGCTAATATAGTGTCAATATACCTACATTATTTACATAAACTGTATAAAAGGTACATTCAAAAATTGGTTGATTTTCATTGCTTACATCCAGCTTTTCTTATAATAAAAGTCAGTTCAGCTATAAGTCATCTATTCAGCTTTAGATGTGTTTTTAGAAAAATAAAATCAATTTTATTTTTCTAATAAATGAGTTTTGCGACTCACTTGAGTGCATATCCGGATCCGATTCTATAAGTTCAAAATTAGCATGTTGGAATTTATTTAATTATCCAATTGATGCTAACATATAATTATGTACATAGATTAACAAGTAGATAAACTGTGACTTCAAAAATGCAGTACAAAAAGTTTTAAAACAGTTTTAATACAGTTTTACTACCGCCGCAAAGCTTTTAATACCACTGCGTTGTATTAAAAATACGAAAGCTTTTACTACCTTTTTGAACATGAATTTGACGATCTATAAACTTTTTGACGTTTAGTAATTTTCAAAAACAGTTTTCTAAAAACAATAATATTATAAAATTAATCTTTTCAGAGTAAAATTAAAAATAAATGAATAATGAATTTTTTAAATTTATTGGATTGCAATAGCTTTAATCAAAACAGCAATTTAATAGAAATTAAAAAAATTTTAAACAAAAGAAGAAAAAAGAGATGTGCTCTCCTTTGTAATATTGTAAAACCAAACAAACTAACAAGGAAAATTCCAAAAATAATAAATTTCGACCAAATTATTCAAAAATATCCTGATGACGTATTTTTCAGTCATTTTCGAATGAGTACAGCTACCTTTGAAGTAAGTGTATATTCAAACATTAACAACTAAGCATAGATTTGAATTTGTAAATACTTTTAGGTGGTATATAACATGTTAGAGCCATCATTTGTTTCAAACCAGATCGGTCGGCCAAGTTTTCCGGTTTGGAATAGCACAGGGAACAGCCTACCATATTTTTGTTAAAATAACACGATTAATCGCCAAACTGAAAGGTAAAGTTATCAAATTCCCTCGAAGTGAAGCTGCACAAAGACAAATAATTGAAGGGTTTGAAAAAAGTCGCTGCCGTCCTTTGCCAAACACCATAGGATGCATTGATGGTATGCATATACGAATTAGCAAACCTATAAAAGATCCAATAAATTTTCCATTTTCAAAGAACAAATCCAAATGTAACAAAAGTTGTTGAAAACTTTCAATTAGAATATAAAAATGTAATGTCACACACAAAAATATTACTTTTTCTTTTACATAATGAACGTTACCAAAGTTTAAAAAAAAATAGCTCATTATACTAAATTTTAGAAAAAAACTGGACGGCTTACAATTTTCTGTCAAAAATTAGCTTTTGTTTATTTATTATTTAACACTGGTAACATATTTATGACATGTATATAAAATGCAGCCTAAATTTTTTCGCTACTCTCTCTGCTTTTATTTTACGTATCCACTACATTTATTTTACATTTTTGAATATGATACAACGTCAAGAGCTTTTATAATACATTTTTGAAAATACGTTTTTACTGCATTTTTGAAGTCACAAAAACCTACATATCTAAATTAATTTTTAAAATTTCTAATTTTTTAACAAAAATTCATTTCGTATGTAATTTATTTAGGTAATAGTTTTTGTATAAATATTTGAATTTCGGGGTCATGTAGTTACATATAATAATAGGTATAAATAAATAATAATGACAGTTAAACGTTTATTATAATTTCATTTAAAAATTTGAACATGTCTTATTTAAGGCATTGCATACTGACGAGTCCATTCTCTGGCATTATGAATTGCTTTGATTTCATCAATTTTCCACAAATCAGCAACATGATTTTCTAATGGATCATCTGGATTTGGTGCGCTCAGCAATGCTTGAATTGATAATAACACTGTACGTATTTGTAATGCTGGACTCCATTTATCTTTTAATATATCCAAACATATTCTACCCAAGCGATCTATATTTGGATGATAGATTTTGGTAATAAATCTCACTTTTGGCGCAGACATTGGATAATCTTCCGGTAAAAACAATTCTAATTTAAATAAACCACCTTCAAATGGCGAATCTTTAGGTCCAGTAATAAAAACACGAAAATATCTATAATTTGATTCATCTGGTATAGCTGATATACCCGGAACAGGTTCTTCAAGTAAACGTTCGATTTCTTTAAATATTCTGCGTGGAAAACCGGCCATTTCATTCGATTTCTTATTTATATAACCTATAAAATCTATGTAAAATATATTTATGGATTATTTTTCTTCTAGTTAGGTATGTATATATATGTACAAACATAGATTTGAATCTCTAGAATTAATTTAAAATTAGTATTTCTGTTCCAATTTTTTAATGTTACAGCAATAATAGTCGTTTGCAAATTGCAATAAAACTAATTGCTACTTCTTATTTTAAGTCGGAATTCTTCGTTATGTAGTGCTTTAGCTACACATATTTCCTATACGATTATACAAGTTAACTAACTGCTAAATAATGACGTACTAAAACAGTGCGCTTACTACTTTAATCAATTTGTGTAGTAAATCAGCAGTATTCAACAACTTTCTTCAACTTTGTCATACATCAGCTGTCAAATATTTGTCATTTATGTATGCCGTAAAAATATTGATGTGATTTAAAGTTTTTGATTTATGCGTTTTTATACGTTTCCAAGTATGTGTTGTTGAACAAATAGAATATTTTACCGTCGTTGGTCAAATTCGCTCCATTGTTTTCAGTCCATTTACATGTGTATTTTATATGAACTCAATTTTTTGACATTTCACCACAGAAACGCGCTCTTTTTCTTTTCGCAAAAAATTTTGCATGTTATGTTAGATTGTCAAAACCAAATTTGAGTAAATACATTTAAGTTTGATGAACAGTTTCTGGCAATTTTATTAAAATAAAAATTGAAGTCTACAAAACATTATACGTAATTTATCTAATATCTGTGAACTACAGTTTCTTTGACAGTTTTTGCTGATTAAAATTTATTTGATATTTTAGGTTCTTTCAGCTGTTTCAAATATATTTTTATAGAAGAAATATTTGCATTTTCAAAAATTATTGAATTAAGGTTCCTAAAGCTTAATTTGAGTTGGTGAGATAGCGAAAACAATATAAATGCATTTTATTTAGTCATATTCTTCCTTAATGAAAGAAAATTACATAGGAGTAATTCTCTTTCATTATGGAGATTATTCCTTAAAAAGGCTGAGTTTTTCCATTTATTTTGTGTAAAAATGATTAAATGTTAAATTTTAAAAAATTATGTTGGGATTTCCGAAAAGTTCAACTTTCATAATAGAAAGCCCGTATTCAGAAGAAATAATTCAAATTACCAAAAAACATCACTTTATACATTCCTTGAGATTTAATTTAAATTCATACACGGGGTCGTATTGGTGGTCTTTTTCATCTTAGATCGGATTTCCTTTTTTTTCCTAATACATACTATATGTACATATATATATATTACCTATATTGACTCATTTTTTTGGCACCGTCTGCATTGGTTACGTGTCACAATATGAATTTCTCCATAAACTATTATTTATTATGTGCAGAGCATTTAAATATAGTTTTTTTTATTAAATTAATAATAAAAAAAATAAATTATTGAAAAGTTGAAGTTTTAAAAACTAGACTGTAATATATGTACATATTTATGTACAATTTCCAAATACCTGAATGTAATGTCCAACGTACATGTAGTATGTACACATCAGCATCATTTTAAATCTTATAAAAAAAAAAATTAAAAAATATTTTCTACAGGTTAACACCATTAACATAAAATAAAATAAGAAGTAAAATAATAATAAAGGCTTAAGCCATGTGTTCACAATGTGTCCATATAACACACATAAGTACCTACACATAATATGTAGATGTAAGTACAAACTTTTATATCACACAGCAACAATAAAACAGCCAGTTGATAGGCAGACCTACACTCGTACATACATACATATATATTTCTATATATTATGTAAACAAAATTATAATTTTTTTAAAGAATTTTTTTTAAAAATAATTAAATTTTTATTTATTATAACGAAATTCTTGCATTCATGTCTTATTTTCATGTTGAATACATATTTTGGAACTCTTTTGTATATAATAGCTATACAAATGGCTCTTGTAGTTTTTTACTACATTGGCATAAATGTATTTTTGTTAGACTCATTTTTGTAAGTAGGTTATCGCCACGAAACTAAAAACACTGATCTGAATTTTGTAAATTAAAATTGTTTTCCGTTTAAGAATATTAAAAATACACATGAAATATAAATTTGCTTAAAATTTTATCTACATAATATATTTTTACCAAGTTTAAAATAAAGAGTGTTCATTATTGTTTTTCTACAAAAGATACATAATATTTGGTCGAAATTATTTAGTTAACAATGTAAAAAAAATTCCCTAAATTCTAGATTTATTTTTATAATTAAAATTTAATATTTTGACTTCTATTGCCATTATGAATGCAGATATACAAAATGCACACAACATATGTATGCATATTATACCTTTTTGCTATAAATTACAGTGCACAACCATTTACAAAAAAAACTTCAAATTATTTTGATTTAAGAAAAAGTACAACTTTTCCCTTTATGTTAATGTGTGAACCTTTATGTTTAATAGAAATCAATGGATAAAAATTAAATTATAACACAAAACACTTTTAATTTTGCATTCAAATTCAGATTTGAAATGATTTTTTCTCTTTGAATTTCGGCAAAACTATATTTGAAAGAAAATCATTATTTTTTTTTTTTGTTTAAAAACAAAACACAATTTTTAACAATTACTTTAATTAAGAAATAAAAGTTTTTAAATGTTCAACGCTCGGCTCAGGTGAGATCACTGATCGTTTTATAATTAATTAAAAAATGTTTTCACTCTAAAAAAAAACAAATAGTCTTCACCACACCACATTGCAGCACGATCAGTAAAATGTAAAGTGTGTGGTTTGTTTTCACAATAGTACGCTGATTTCTTTTTCACAATAGTACGCTGAATCTACATTTTTCGTTGATTTATAATGTATAATATAGTCTATGGCTTTCCAGACCATTTTGCTTTCATGTTTCCTCTTTTTACGTTTGAATACCACCTTGTTTCCACTTTATTCTTCAAATGGTAATTTTTTATTTTCAATTACATTTTATATTTCTACTTGTAATTATATATGTCAAAATTTAATAATTTTGTTAAAAAAATTATAACCGTAGTAAAAGTCAGCCACTCAAAATCACAGCTTAAAACTTTCGCAAAAAATTAGTTGTCGTAATTTTACTTCTGAAAAATCTTATAGTTAATCTATTGGGAAAAAAGTAGTTTCTATTGTATTGCCGTCAGACACACTATAAAACAAATGCACAACTCAGATTAAATCATAGATTTTGTCAGACATAAAACTGAAAGCAATAAAGTTTGATAAAGTTTGAATTATGTCATTTTTCAAAATTAACACCACACGATAAGAATAAAATTTTAAAACACCCTCGATCTACTCTATTAAAAGTGGAATTGGTTGCTATTCTGTTTTCTATACTGGAACTAATAGGGTTTTTTAAAAAGGTTTATGTCTGTCTAAAAGGTTTCATAAAATAACTTATTTAAAACTCGCTTCACGAGACTGTACTAAATTTTTCTTCAGTTATTCGGTAAAAAATAAAAAGTTTTGGCTCGTGAGCGTGTTATTTTTCACCAAATTTTATTATTTAATTTTTTGTCATTAATTAATTTTAACATATACTTTGACGTTGTCAAAAAATAACTTACTTTTCTTGAATTGAATAACTTTAAAAAAAGCCTCGAGTTACTGAAATTTAACTGAGCCATTTTTAATTTTAAATTAAGATTTAATCATGAAGGGAACTTATATTTTACATTCAAAAAATTATTTTAATATAATTGTTGTCAAATTAACAATCGAATTTGATAAAAATAACTTGACTTCATAATTTAGTGTTTTTGTGCCTTCTGTACCGACCTTTCTGTGGATCTTTCTGTCGATTTATGAGAAAAAATATAATTATACTGTTCTTTTATATTAAATTCCTTTTAAAATTCAAAACTAAAATTTATTTCATTTGTAATTTTTTCAATTGTGATTTATTCCTTAATATTTTTTTAAATTAAAATTTTCTTTTATATAAAACTATTTTAAGGTTGATTTATGCACATTTAGTAAAACAACGTTCTAAGTTCCTCGAACGCGAATTTTAATTATAAGTGGATAATATTACTGACGGACGTGTAATTTCGATATTATGATATTCTATATATTTACTAAATAGATGTGTGTCAGTTATATCATAATATTAGGCCTAATATAAATTCAACATTAATACTATTACTTTATTTAGATTACGGATCGGCTACTTGACTTCAAATTTCAATCTGTGTATATATTGTACAGATAATATTAGTTGAAATTGAGTTAGGTTTGACATCAATTAATCATTTTCAATTTTTCAACCCGCGTATATACAGTTGATCTTCAAGCCACGCTAATAATTTTTTCAAATGGACTTGACTTACAATATTTAGCTTGAAACCGCTTGAAGACGGTCGTTTTTAGATTTTTAAGCATAATTTTAATTTTCAAAATTTTATAAGTTCCTTGAAAATTAAAATTTTCCTTAAACACGTATAATAACAAAATTTGAATACTACGTTTGTGTATGTTACTGTTTTTCGATATTGTACTTTGATAGTACAATATCGATATAACAACATGTCGGTATAAACCGACCGAATTATAACCTACACCTTGGCAATCTGAGTTTAAAATTTGTTTTTGAAATACTTAGCTTCAATTGTTGTATACCAAGTACGTTATGTAATTATAACTGGATCTATAACTGGACACAAAACTGCCAAGTTTCGTGAACGTAACTTTATCTTATACCTTACTACTTTTTCGAATATTTTAAATTTGCTTTTGGAGTTGTGTGCCAGCTACCAAATTCCGTCAAGCCATTCCATCAAAACTTCAGGGATATATGTGACATAAAATTGACATACAACTGCCATGTTTCATGAACCTAACTTTATTATTTTACCAAAGAATATATATATATATATATGTCCATAGCAGAGACGATTATTTCAAGTGGTTATAAATTCTGTACCAAAGTGAATATATAAAAATAAAAATGCTATAAATAAATTATAAATTGTCTTTGCGGAAATTCAATTGTGAACTTCAATTTAATGTTATTGTGAACAGTGCGATATTAAAAAATTAGCGAAGTACATAATATTAAAATTGTCAAAAGTGGTTTGTCATTTTCCTGAGCTATCATGTAATTCAAGGCTGGCAGCACTAATGTCACATGACTTTTAACGTCAATCTTGTGAAAATTTTTATTCCACATATATTTCTTCTAATAAGAAATAGGGAGCAAAAACACTTTTAATATATAATTTTCGAAAGCAGCTGATTTTTACTGGTAACTGTTTTAATTTTTTTTTCAAAACGTTTTGCAAGTTACTATTTTCTAGAAAAATTTAAATAAAACGTCCTGGCAAAATGATTTCTTCTAAGCAAGCACAAAGGGAGCACGTATTGGCTGTTTCCAGAGATTTTATTTCCCAGCCGAGACTAAGTATGTATTTCACCTAAATTGATTAAAATAATTATCAAAATTTAAATTATTTGCTTAAAATTACAAACTTCATAAATATAGACAATTTTTATATGTTCAGCCATTTATATGTATATCAGTTGGAAAAATTGCGATCGATAAAATCAATTTTAGTACCAAAAAATGATAAAATTTTTAAGTTTTTTTGGATCTTATAATTTTAATTACTACAATATTAGTTTAAGGGATTGCTTTTAGTCTGTAAGACAGCTTTTTAAATTTCTTTAAATTAAAGAATTATTAAATACTTTTAATTTTTTGAAGGAGGTCATGTGATATACCTACCACCTGATCAAAAAAAAAAAATTATGCAAACATGTCATAGCTTATTGATGTTTGACATTTTTTTCTTTTATAGCTTATAAAACAGTTTCTGGTGTAAATGGTCCTCTTGTAATATTGGACGAAGTTAAATTTCCAAAATATGCCGAAATTGTTCAATTAAAATTAAGTGATGGAACTATTCGTTCTGGGCAAGTTTTGGAAGTAAGTGGCTCTAAAGCGGTTGTTCAAGTTTTTGAGGGTACTTCTGGTATTGATGCGAAAAATACAGTGTGCGAATTTACTGGAGATATTTTAAGAACACCTGTTTCTGAAGATATGTTAGGGCGTGTCTTCAACGGTTCTGGTAAACCAATTGACAAAGGACCACCAATTTTGGCAGAAGACTTTTTAGATATTCAAGGCCAACCAATTAATCCATGGTCTCGTATTTATCCAGAGGAAATGATTCAAACCGGTATATCTGCTATTGATGTAATGAATTCAATTGCCAGAGGGCAAAAAATTCCCATTTTTTCTGCTGCTGGTTTACCGCATAATGAAATCGCTGCCCAAATTTGTCGTCAAGCTGGTCTCGTAAAATTACCTGGAAAATCTGCATTAGACGATCATGAAGATAACTTTGCTATTGTATTTGCTGCTATGGGTGTTAATATGGAAACTGCTAGGTTTTTCAAACAAGATTTCGAAGAAAATGGTTCTATGGAGAATGTTTGTCTATTCTTAAATTTAGCTAATGATCCAACAATTGAACGTATCATTACTCCACGTTTAGCTTTAACAGCTGCAGAATTTTTAGCTTATCAATGCGAAAAGCATGTTTTAGTTATTTTAACTGATATGTCATCTTATGCTGAAGCTTTGCGTGAAGTATCAGCTGCAAGAGAAGAAGTACCCGGACGTCGTGGTTTTCCAGGTTATATGTACACAGATTTGGCTACAATTTACGAACGGGCAGGACGAGTAGAGGGCCGAAATGGTTCAATTACTCAAATTCCAATTTTAACTATGCCAAACGATGATATTACACATCCAATTCCAGATTTAACTGGATATATTACTGAAGGCCAAATCTATGTTGATCGCCAACTACATAACAGACAAATCTATCCTCCAGTTAATGTGTTACCATCATTGTCCCGTTTAATGAAATCTGCTATTGGAGAAGGAATGACACGCAAAGATCATTCTGATGTTTCAAATCAATTGTACGCTTGTTACGCTATAGGAAAGGATGTACAAGCCATGAAAGCTGTTGTTGGTGAAGAAGCCTTAACTCCTGATGATTTACTATATTTGGAATTCTTATCTAAATTTGAAAAGAACTTCATTACTCAGGTATGAACTTTTTGCAAAAAATGCCAAATCAACGAATGATATTGATACTAATAAAAAAATACGATATTTTCAGGGTAACTATGAAAATCGCACAGTATTTGAGTCATTAGACATCGGTTGGCAATTGTTACGTATTTTCCCTAAGGAAATGTTGAAACGAATTCCAGCATCAATTTTGGCCGAATTCTATCCTCGAGATTCCCGCCATTAAGCATTAAACAAGAAGATTGTAATGTAAATTTTATTATTATGTGTTATCCTAAGCCCAATTCAAAAATAAGATACATACATTTTTTTTTTGAAGATTGTGTATTAAAAATAAAATTTTTGTGAAAAATATAAAATTTAAAAAGATATTGTATTACTTAATTTGTTAATAGACAATATGTGAAAGTTATTTAATATAATTATAAATACTTCTTAAAATGTTGTTACTGTTTCATAATATTATTATGCTTTAGATTCTAGGAAAAATCGAAAATGAAAATCAATGAAAACTAATCAAAATATCACCAAATTAAAATTGTATGAAATAAATAATGATTCTTAAATAAATATACATTGTATGTATTATTTAAGATATAGATAAATTTTAATCATTATTTCTCTACCATATTATGAATTCATTTAGAAATTTTTAATTAATTATAATACTTAGCCTTTTAACGAGAAAAATTTGCCTAAACTGAAAAAATAATAATAATGTATTTTATTGTCATAATATATTTTAAAATTTGCTAAAAATTAGCACATTCAAGTGTTTCAAAATCTAAATTTGATTTTTAAATTGATTTCAAATTTGTAATAAAAAAAATCATTCCATTCAGTAAAAAAAATTAAATAACTTATAGATGTTCATAAAAAAATATTAAAATTTTAAATAACTTAATTTAAAATTTTAATAGACCCTACTAAAATAAACAAATAATTTTAAATGTATATTATAATAAAACGAACCGTGTAAAATTTTTGAAGTAATTTGAAATATCAAATAAATTGAACAATAAAATATGTTAAGTAAAATGTATAAAATAAATATAAATTAGAGAAAATGAATGTGTTTAACTTGTTTCTAGACTTGTCTATCATTATATTCCAAAAACGAGATTTTATTTAAATAAAAATATGATTTTAAATGCATTCTTAGCTGATTAAATAATAATGTCGAAATTTTTCACACAAATCAAGTTTTTTCAAGTGTTGACAAAATTATACATATAACAGTTGATCATTTGCAATTGGAATTTGCGTCCTATAAATCTAAAAGAACCACATACTTACTCGTATGTACTTGACAAATGTTGTAAAAGAATGAGGCGAAGTTTGTGAATTGATTATTTTTTGAAAATATATTTTGATATTGCAATTTTAATGGTTTTGCAAGTTTTAATTACCGTGAACAATAAAGCATAACATAATTTAAAGCATTTCAAGTTGTATGTGAATGACTAGGTTATTCAAGGTTATAAAAAAATAACTTTTAAAATTTTTCCTTTTAAATGCTGATCTAAATTTAACTTTCAAAAAATAAAATATGTAAAAAAAGGTATTGGAACTAATTTCGCAACAAACTTTAAAACAATTTTTTGTTACATAACCCGACAATTTTGTACCCGACTTCGAGTTTAGCGTTTTTTTTTTTCAAGAAAGCTCTAATTCTATTTAAAACTCTTTTTTAAATTTTTTCTCAATAATTCGTTACTTTTATTAAAATATTTTTCACTTACATGCTTTAAATAAGTATTTAAAAACGTTATATATAATTTATATTTCATTAAGATAAAACATGATTTAAAAATATAAGAATTAAAATATTACAAATTTTAAAAATGAAATACAGAAAAAAATACTTAATTTGTTTTGAACAAATATTTCAAAGGGCCATTTTAATTATCAATGGTAGAAATTTTTTCTCGAATTTCTTTCATAGTCTGTACAGGTAAAGTGATATAAACGTCATCTTTAATCAATTCAACTTTAGATACTTCAAGAAACGTAAAATTTGGTAATACCTCCATGAGTTTTGATCTTGTCTCATTATTAAAATTGTCTTCATTTATGTCTTCCATTAAATCTAATAATTAATCGAAAAAGGAAAAAACGTTGAGTTTATGAACAAAATGTTATTATCATACCTATTATTGTAGGATTTGAATTATTCTTACCTTTAATGAAGCACATGTTTGCAAAACATGGTATATTTAAATCGATAGGATATTTCCTTACATTTGAAGTAGATTCTTCACAAATATTGCCAAAATCTACCAACAACAATTCTAATCTATCATTTTCCAAAACTGTTTCACATGAAGCTCTGTACCATACTTCAGGATTATCTCGTACCTTTACCAAACATAGTTCAGATTCTCTACAGTTAAATAACATTATATTAATTAAAATATGATATGATTAAATACATTTTAAATAAAAAACAACGTTTTTAATTCAAAAATAATATTAAAAAAAAATATGACTGTTCTTACATTGGCTCATAGGGATTTGGATCCTTTGAAGCCAACTCTGTAAAAATTTCGGCACTTTTTTCATTTTCCAAAAGATTTGTTTTTAGAACACATGTCAAAAATCCAGCTTCAATGAATGAGTTATCTAAGATAATAAGTGTCTTGTTTTCTCCAGGCTCAATTTTAACGCATTTCAAATCCTAAAATTAATGTTAGAAAATTAGAAAATAAATAATGTAAACACATAGCAATATATGAACAAGATAAATATTTTTACCTTGAAAAATACTGATTTTAAATTGTCTTTAGGTTTTTCTTTTAATAAGTTTCTAATTTTTTCGTTCACACATCGATTACTTTGGTTCTCAAATAGTTCCACTAGCGGAAGGTGCCCAACTTTTTCGCCTTCTGTGTAACTTATTCTTAATTGCACTAAATTATCGATTATATGTTGCAAGTAATCTTTACATTTTGTTGACATTTTTTCTCGAGAAATTTCAGGAACTTCCTTAAGTGATACACCAAATGGATATCTTTTAAAATTGAAACAGTCTGGATGCATTTCTTTTAATTGTGACAGTTTTTTAGTTTCGGCGTTCCCAAAATCTATATACCCAATTAAAATATTGTCTTCATCAATCGGATTCAATACCAGAGCTCTATACCAGTCACCTTCAAATTCACATATAACCATATCTTTAGTTTTAGGCATTGAAGATAAATAATTTGAACTCTTTGCGGACTCAATTACAAAATTTATTGCTTCCACATAATTATCACTATCTGGCCGTTCATTTGAACGTACATAAATGCGGTTTAGTTGATCAAAGTGTGTCATGATCACCGGCGTACCAGATTTAGGTAGTGGCGCTCTTTCAATGGTTTTGTTCAAGATATTATTACTTTCACTCTTTTGCTTTATTGTTTCATCAGGCTTTTTATTGCAAACCGGCATTTGACTTTTATCTATTTTAATTTTATCTGAAGTATTCAAGGGACCTACAAGTTTTTTAGTTTCAATGTTATTATTTAATGATTTTAAAAATTCTGCTTCTTTCGAATTTTTTGAGGTATTATTGTCCAACTTAGCAATGTGCTTGACTCCAATATTATTGCTGACCGGCGGATTATTTTGGTCATTTTTTACCGTTCGGATGGTGTTATTCTTCCGAAAATTTTCTATTTGTGAAATATGTATCAACTCACTAAAAAAAACAATATAAAAATGTAGCTTTTATGTGACTTGTAAAACATAATACAAGGAACTCACGGTTTTTTAAAACACACATATCTGTGTTCTCTCCAATCTTTATTTTGGCAAGTTAGACTGCAGTAAACTTCTTGGCATCTTTCACAGCACATGTTGGCCATTTTACCACATAAAAAGCAGTTAAACATTTTAGAATTTTCAATATTTTCCCTTTCCTGTTTACTCTGATTTTCTCCTCTAACGTTATTATGATCTGAATATTTTTCTTTCTCTCTAAATTTTTGGGAGTAGGTAAATATATTAAATTTTTTACTTTGTCTTTAGTTGACTAAATTTATCTAGCAATACTCACTTATTTTCAGATGTTACTTTTCCTATTTTCTTTTGAAAATCTAAATTTTTATCTTGGGATTTTCTGTTTGACGTACTGAATAAAGAAAATAATAAGTAATTTTAATTTCATCTTAATTATATACCTTATCCTACTTTTTTTTATCAGAATCTAAATCTCCACTACTGTTGGATTTATTCGATGTGCTTGTTTTCTGTTTCTCTTCTACTACATAACCTGACGCATCTTTTTTCATGCCATGTATGATAGCCGTCATTTCTCTGAAATAAATTTATTTAGAATTTAGAGGTTGAGGGAAAATTAAGTATATAAGTTGTTACTTTATATTAGGGCACTCAGCAAAACGGTAAGGAAATTTAAGGCTCGAATTTAAATCTGATGGTAGATCTTTAACCAAGTTTACTTTACCATATTTCTCAAGAATTTTTTTTAAATCTTCTGCTTTCAAAGATGCTGGTACTAATTTTATGCATAACATACGTTTTTCCTTTTCAATTTCTTGAGATGATTTTAATCGTGATGCTGGAATTGATGTAGCCATATTTTTTTTAATAATGGATTTACTTAAATAGCAGAACTATATATAAAATATTTAACATTAATTTTAAAAAGTATGTAAAAAATCTTTTTATATTTTTAGAAAAACAATTTCTATTAAAACTCGTGCTAACTATTTCAATATATTTTTTGTACCGAATAATAATTTGGCTTACCTTGCAGTTTTAAAGTTTCATGCGACATTACTGCATCTATCTAAATTGACAAGCGACACTACTGCATTTATCTAAATAATATGTTCAAATTTGACATAACAAAAATATGTTTCTATTTGTCAGCTACGTGTTTATGTCAAGCCACTTATTCACTGTTACTCGTTCAATTATTGGCACTGTTTACACGATTGTGTTTACATCGTATTTCAAAACTTTTTTTATTCACTTGACTCCTTCACATATACAAATTTTAGGAATTTAATTACCGACTATAAAATCACGAAAATTGGTATTCAAATAAAATTTGAATTTCATTAAATTGTTTTTGAAAAATTTAAAATTTTGAAAGTTCAAATTGCCGATTAATAAAATCATCAATATTTTTAGAGATTTAAAATATTTTTGTAATATTGACTTTAACTAAAATAACATACATAAATAAAAATAAATAAGTGGAATGTTATGGTGTTCCGTAATGAAACATTTATACAAGGAAAAATATATGCATAAAGTATATGGTGGAAATAGTATTAACTGTTCATTTTTATTGTACGAAGTATGTGTTGTGCATTGTTTAGTGTTAGAGGATAAAAAGTTGAAACGGCGCCGAAAATTTGTTACAGTTATAATTGAATTTGTCCATAATAACCATGTTTTTCATGTGTCGTATAAATTCCATTTGTATATTTTGAATACACACCTTAAGATTAAAAATAAAATCAAATGTTTTTTTTTGCAAGAGATGACATTTTGCTATTATCATTCGCTAACGTGGTATTTCATTGAAGTTATTGAGGCGAACGTAATTTTTCTCGGATTCGCCTAAATGGTGTCATGGTTCGCGAAGCGAGTAAAATTATTTCTAGGGAAATGTCAAAACTAAGCGAATAAAAATTGTATGTGACTAGAAGGAAATTTCAAAATTTTGTTGTGATTTTCAGTTGATAGTTTATTATTTTAAGAGACTTTATGATGAAGATTAGTAAAAAAAAAGGAAACACATTAGTAGCAAAATAAATTTTAATTTTTAAATATGAATCTATAAAAAGGATTCATATTTAAAAATTAAAAAAAACTTTCTGTTAATAAATAATATATATTGCATGTAATAAAAGTTTGTTTAAGTATTATTGGTTGGCAAAAAAATAGTAGCATTTGTGTATACAAAATATACTAATTCAAAGATTTTCAGGTTAAAAAAGGAACAAATCGGGAGCAGTTAGCAAAATTAGTAGTACTAATGGGAAATATCCCGGATTTAGCTCTTGGTGAAACACATCCGGCCTCAGTAAAAATATACTGCAAATATATTTAAAGAAATGTGGGCGAACTTTACTGTGTAGGTAAACGCTTTGGGATCTTTAGTGGATTTGATTGATCTCTTCTATATCATCGTATCCTTCTTATATTTAAATTCTTGTTTTCAGTACTACTACTGATCTACTCATCCCAATAAACTAAATCGACACTCAATGAAAACATACTTTCATTTAAACTTTAAGTTTCTGAAAAAATGTGTTCCAACCTACATTATGAACTTTGTTTAACTTTTTATTCAAATGCCATTTATTGGGAATCTCGACAGCAAGGATTTTTTCTCAGCGAATTTAATTGTGTGCGAAGCATGATCTCATTTTAGCACATATTCGAGTACTTATTCGCCCCACGAATTATACTATCATTTAACCCTAATAAATTTTGTTTTTCTGAGGTGTTTGACTTTTCATTTGAAGAATGTGCGAATAGCTGTTATGATGTGCTTGATATTTTCGTTTTTTTTCTCATTGAAACCAACTTTTTCAAAAGTTTTTAAATTTTAGTATGAGGTATGTACATAAAATGCTATCTTATATATATTTTAGCCGCAAATGTTCTCAATTACCAACGAATAAACTTCAGTACTTAAAAAATCAACAAGCTAACGTTTTATGCAAACGCCATTCATAATATATTTTTATAGCAATAAATGAAACTGCCTCATGCCGTGTCCATTTATGTAGGTTAGCAGTTAGACTTGAATTATCCTCATTTAGTAAAATTAAATTACTCATCATTTCCAATCTGTCACTAGTCTTCGTATCGCAACGTTCTGCTTTCATAAAATCATAAACTTTATACATTTTTGTAAAAATGCATATATAATTACATATAATGGTTTTTGAGATTAAGATTGATAAAAATGCTGCAAATCTCTATATACATACGAAGCGAAAGCAAAAGTAAAAACTACCAAATCGCCGTCAGAAAATTCACAGTTAGAAACCGTAGTTAACTTTTAAAAAATTTTTATGTTTTTGTAGCTTTTAGCAAATGCCTGTAGATGGAAATGTAGAGTAGAAGTTATGTGAAAAAGTAAAGACTAGCAGAATAAATGTCTGTCTTTCTAATGACATTTAGTTTTTTTTTAAAAATAAATTTAAGAAAGAAAGAGAGAAATTAAAATCTTTCGAAAGTCTTGGAAAAAATTTTTTTAAAAAAAATATTAGATTTTATTTGATGAAATTTTATTTTCAATTGTGATATGAAAATGTGCGGGGGATTTCAATGTTCAAAAAACGCTTTAATAGCGTTAAATGTGCTATACATAGTAAGTTATTGATTTTTCTTTTAAACTAAGGAATAAAATCTAAAGTTTTTTCATACACTTTAGATGGTCGGTATTCTTTTGATTTGTGTCGGAGTCTATAGTCAAGCAGCATCAATTGTTACAAATCTTCCAATAGTATCTGGAATTTTAGCATGTGGAGTAATATTAATAATGATCTCCATTCTTGGTTTGGCAGGAGCAGTTAAACATCACCAAGTTATGTTATTCTTTGTATCCTTTTAAGAATTGTAGAACTGTATAGGATCTACCAAACAGTATTCTTAAATAGAATTTTTGGTTACTTTTTTTTTTTTTACGATTGTGTAAATCAAATACACTTATAATATTTTTTTTCTTTTGAATACAATTTTTTAATATGTAAATGTTTGATTACATACCTACCTTCCCAGTTCTTATCATAGTAATTTGACTTTAAAGGTCACCTTATTTCATTACGCATTAGATTTTAATTGAAAAATACTTAGAGATAACAAATTATCACCAAATAATAAACCATTTTGATTTGAATAACAAATTTTTGTAGGTATATTGCAGCTCTGAAACGAAAATAGTAAAAATATTTCCTTAATAATATGAAATAGTATATGATTATTTTGTTTATGTTGTTTTTAATACAATTTTCGATCGCATGCTCATGTTTAGCTGTAAATTCTGATCAACAGAAGCAGTTAGCAGAAGAAGGTTGGAATCGTGTTCCAGATTCAATTAAAAAAGATGTTCAAGAAACTTTTAATTGCTGCGGGTTTAATCAGACTGTGACTGGTGCAGATCCTGCTATGGAAATATCATGTGAAATATTAAATCGCAAATGTTGCTTCGGTTTAGGAAGTACCTGTTCCTGTCCACCATGCTTAATGAAATTGGAAGACAAAATTAATTACGCATTCCAATTGTGTGGCGGCATTGGGCTATTCTTCAGTTTTACAGAGGTAATAAAATAAACTTCCATTCGAAGTTTGACAATTTTTCAGTGCCTTATACAAAATATGCATCTAAATTTTTGCAACAAAAAAAATTATTTTTTAATAAAATTTTTCAGTTTTTGGGCGTTTGGCTAACCGTTCGTTATCGTAATCAAAAAGATCCTAGAGGATTGCCAAGTGCTTTCCTTTAATTTTTGCAAAACAAAATTCATTTAATGTCTTTTTAATCTATTTTTAAAGTTCTAACTACATGCAATATTGTAAAATATTATTTATAAGTAAAAAACAAATGTGTCCTTGACATTTTGACAAATATAATGCTAAGCCATAGTGTTGGAAAAAGGTTTATTAAATTTACAGAACGATATTTAAGGGTTGGTAATACATGTTTTTTTATTATGCAGAATAATTTATATGAAATTCTTGAATATTTTTATATTATTTATATCTTATTTATGGTTAACATAATAATTTGCACTTCCTGCTTTTAAATCACTGTTATATATATTACAATTCTTACATTGTGTAGCTCAAGTTAAAACTATTATTTTAATTAGTTTCCACTTGATTTTACTTTCTAGCTTTTTATTTTGACATAGTAATTAAATGCATTTATGTTCATAACAACTCCTCAAGATAGTACGAAAACTCAATATTGCAAATATTTATTTTGAATTATATTTTGTAGATATTGCGAAAAAATATTTTTCGAAAGTTAAATGGCAATTTCTTATGTTTCTTTTATGTTATATTATAATTAATTTTTTATTTGCTTTACATATTTTTTCGTAAAATAAAATGCTACATACATACATTTTCATATTATTATTTCTATTTAAATTTATATTCTAATTAAATGTGTGAAATGTTAATATAAGAAACACCTTTTTACAACAGCTATTAAAAATTTATTTTAATTTTAGGTTTTAGCTGTTTTCATCACTTGGCGTTATCGTAATCTACACGATCCTTATGATTTACCAGCACGTGCAATTTTCCCACATAATTATCACTATTAAAGTTTTTGAAAATATGAGAAGAGTCCAATTAGTAGTCGATTCATTAAGGCTGATTTATTTAATTACGTAGAAATATAATTTTAAGTTTACAAGTTTTTTTTTTTTCATTTTTACATAATATGTTATATAGAAAGTATAATAGTAAAAAATAAGTTATGTTTATTATTTAATTTGTATAAATTTGGAAAAAGCTTATTGTTTTTAAAAATATTAAGGCTACTTTTTTTCATATTAAGTTTCGTAAGAAGGGTTCGAATTAAATGAGATTATAATGTGTACTATATTAAATGATGTTAAAAATTGCTAAATATTCAATTTGTAGATTTAAAGATTATTAAATTAACAATATGTTTTAAGAAAATACCAAATGAACAATTTCTCGCAAGTTCTCAATACTATTTTTTCACAAAAAATTATTATAGCTTAGGTTAAAATTTATATATTCATAAATAATATTCATGGGTTTATCTTCATTTAGCTAATCATATTAATTTTAAGTTTGTAGTTACTCAAATCAATGAAAAGCTCATATAATTTTGGAGTCTTTAAAATTATTTTTGGACTCCAAAGCAACTAATATTAATTAGCCTATCTTAAACTTTTTTAAACAAAAAATAACTTATTTCAATTTGTTACAGATTGCCACATACATTTTCATTCTATTATTTTCATTAAAATTTATATTCTAATTAAATGTGTTGTACATAAATTTTAATTTTATTACTAATTAAATGATTCAGTACGATGATAAAACTGCCACAATATAATTTTGATTTTAGTACATAATTATAATATGCATACCTATATTTTGCATTTTCAAACCGCAGATAGCTGAGATAAATAATATCCAATGCAAGTTTTTAAATCCAATACAAAAATTGTTTTTAAAATATATTAAAATAATTGTATTGTTTGTTCTTATTAAGAATTTTAATAAAATTTTATATTTTTATGTTTCAAATATTACATACACGATGAGCACGAGCTGCTTTCTTTTAATATAATATGTATATTTTCAAATAATTTTTATTTTTTTTTAAAAAGTTAGTTTACAGAAAATGTATAGACAATTGAGAAAATCTTTTTAAAACATTAGAATATATAATATTATGTGTATTAGATTATTTATTTATCCCAAATATTTTATATTTAAGAGAATGTTATAAGTCGCTTAATATGTACTGGTATAAAAGCCCATTCAAATTAAATAAATATATTCTATAAGAAAAAATAATTCTATTAGAGTAAAAGTTATTGAAACAAAATACGGAAAAACGAAAAAAGAAAGTTATTTTGTATGAATATTAAAAAGTTTACATAATAATATTAAAATTGTGCGAACAAATGTATATGTATAGACATACAAATGTAATTTTACTTAGCATATAATATGTGCTGTGATTAAAAGAAAAAATTAAAAAAAAAAATAATATTTTAAATTGTATGGACCGAACTTTTAACTGTGTATGTAGGAAAAATCAAAAATTAATTTCAAGATTTAAATTCTCAAAAAGTGTAAAAACATGGAATGAAAATAAATATGAAATAAGAATGAGTAATACTTTAGTTTTTACTTTTTAAATACATTTTTAATTTCATAGGTTCCTAATAATTATGAAATAAGAACTTTAACGTCTTAAAAAAGGGAAGTGTTCATTAGAACAGATAAGACTTATGCACTTCATCCTATATTTCATTAAAACAGTTAAATATTTTTTCTTGAAATATTTTATAATGATTTTGTCAATTTTTGCTTTCTTTCTTATTCAATTGCATTTTTAGTATTTGATTAAAGCTCATAAAGTAGAAAAAAACTTTCGAGTTACAGCTTCTAACGTTAAGAACGTACGTCTTTTAAATAAGCTAAGATGTATATTATCATTCTTTATATGTTCGATTATTGGTTTATAACGTTTTTTTTGAAAAGCATCTAAGTACATAAATTTTCTGAAAACCCCTATTGAAAAATTTAACTTAACTAATTTTGTGGTTAACAAAAATTTAAAATAATTTTATGATAAATTAATTTTTTTTCTAATATTAAAATAAGCTCTAAATTTGAATTGAAAGCTTTTTACAAATGTACAAGAATTCTATGTTAAGTAAATTTCAAAATCTTGTATGTTATGCTTGTAAAAAACAGTTCTACATCTAGAACAAAATGATATACATAGTATAGTGCAGTATACTTTGTTTATAAAAATTCATATATGTATGTAGTAAGTTAATAATGTATAATGTATGTTTATACTTATTCATATGTGTATATGTACATACATAAGTACCGTTATTATAGTAATACATTATGTAAATTCGATAAAGAAAATATGTATATGTGTATGTACATAATAATATTTATAATTACATATATGCATGGGTAGTATAACACTTATGTTTAAGAATATATTTTATGAATTAAAAGTTGTGCGCGTGTCCTAAAAATTTTTGTTTTTCCTTTATACTGATAAGCATATCATGTCCTATGTCAAAGGAATATAATTTGAAAAAAAAAAGGAAATTCTAGTATACAAAAATGTTCCAATAACTATGTATATAATAATAATAGTAATAATAATAATTGTATATACATGTTATACTATATAACATTTATATATAAATTTAATATATTTTTCTTTTAGAAAAAATATTTTCTCAATTTCAAATTAGTTGTGCTTTGTCATCTCTTTAGATTTGTTATATCATTTCATGATATTAAAAGAATTAGTAAATTCAGTATAAGAAAATTGTTATATTAATTTTGTCTTCAACTGTAATTTAAAATTTTGAAAATTTTAATTTTTTTAATGAAATATAATAAAAATTTTGTGAATTCTAGTCATACTGAAATCAATTAAATTTTAATTTTAAAAAATTTATGACATTTCTGCAACTAAGAAAAACAAATCAGAATTTTAGTCAGTTGCTATTGGTTTCAACATCATTATAAACGAAATTAAATAAAAGAAAAAAAAAAAAAAACAAAATATAATATTAATAATAGTTGAGTCTAACAGGAAAAAATTTCATTCAGGAAATTCAGGATTTTTTTCTGGTAAAATTTTAACAACCAAAAATATTTTTACAAACATATTATGTATATTTTGTAATAGCTAGTTGATTAAAATTTGTGTACTGTTTATATATCTATACATACATATATGTATATAAGATAAACAAATATATTTATATACATATGTATATAAATGTATGTATGTACAGTCTATGAGGATTCTAAAATTTCTTTTGATTATATAATTTTATGAAATATTTTTTTTTTTTTTTGTAAAGGAATTTGATAATGTGAACACTAATAATTTGTAATCGTGTAATATAGTAAAAGGCATATTTTTTAAATTAGTTATTGAACTTTAAGTTTTGAAGTTCATTGCAAAACTTTTCAATTGTGAGATTTAGTAAAAATTATTGCTCAAATAGTGCAATTTTTAGACCATAGTGAAATTAAAATTTTAAGATTATAGGTAATTACAATGTAAAATATTGTACTGCCTTGCCATAAAATTAAATTTTTTCAGTTAAGGCTGCCGAATCATTTCGGAAAATTCAAATTTTATTTGTCCTTCTGAAAAAGTTTGAGAATCTAATTGGTAAATAGAAATCAAGGGTGGAATTTTGAAAAAAATATTATATCCAATTAATAAAGGGCTTCAATATTTAATTACAAAAATCTTATTTTGAAATTGATATTTATTTAATAGATACCCAAATACCTTCATATATGTATTTACATATGGACTGATTTATTAAAACTTTGATGATAAGATTACAGTAATAGGTAGTAGAATATGCTAGGTTTAATAAAAAATATTTTATTATTTTGCATGAGTTCCGAGTTAGCATTCAATTTCATTAACAAATATTAGATCAAAATGCAATTTGTAGAGCTACCACATATATAATTTGGCATAATGATGATTCAATTTTTATATATTTATGTGTTGCTGAAGAGTTTCAGAAACCTGTATTCAAAGAATATCCATAGATCATCAAGTATACGTACATAGAATTGCTTTAATGCTTATATTTTTTTATAGAATTTTATTGATCTTTTCTTTCCTAATTGATTACAAATGCTATTAAAAAATACTATTACTCTAGTATTAATGTAAGCAAATAATGTTTATAGTGTATTGATATACAAGCTGATTGCGAAGCAGATAATATGCTAATTAATTTTTATATAAATTTTAAAGTAAAGTAAAAATATTATAGGATTCGATATTCTTAAATGGAATTTAGTTCTCTATTATGAAATATTAAATTAGTGGAAAATGAGTGTGTAATACTTTTTTAAGTATTCAAAGAACATTATATTGAATAATTGAAATTATCAAATAAAATGCACGGGCATGCATTTCGGAATTTCAAATTTATTTTTCAAATATCTTCAACTAGTGCAAAACTTTTAATTTTATAGTGCTGTTGCACCAATTACTTTTACAACTGAGCTAGTTAATGAATCAAAATGTTAAAAGAGGATTTTAATTAAAGGTATTTAATATAAAAGGAAGCATAATAATGTTTTCCTATAACATGAAAAATTTTAATCTTGAACATATTATTTATTTATTCTTACTTGTATGTGTATGTGTAAATTAATAAACACATACATATGTTTTTGCACGTCAGTACTAATTTAAATAAGCGAAAAAATGATTTGTTTTTGGTGTTTTTGGTCTATTGAATGGCATGTGGGAGATTTTGCAATAAAAATTCAACGAAAATTTAATTATCATTTCTATCTTCAATTAAATATTATATACGTTAATGATGAGAGTATAATAAAATTAATTAAATTATATAATCTTTTTTATTTTTGATTTCATTAACTTTAATTAATTAAATCGATTTTATTTTTCTCGCTAAGTCTAAGGTAAAAAAAATCTGAATTATTTTTATATGGAAATTTAAGAAATGATAAAAGAAATTTCTACTTTGATAGCAAAACGACGCGGAAAAATATGCAATAGGTAAAAGCACTAGTGGCCGAACCGTTAACACGTTTTCTAACTTTAACTTTATATTATTTTTTAAGTACGAGAGATAAAGCAAATATTTAAATAATTTCTAAAAGCGGTAAAAATTCTTAATAGCATTAAATGCAACAAAAAATTGTTGAAATTATGTTTATAAAAAATAATTAAGTTTTTTTCAAAAAGTATCACATTTTCTTGTATCCAAACACCAAAATTTAGTTACCGAACACTTTTATTCTAGTATCCCGACACACAAATTTCCTTGAAATATTACGTGCTTTTCTATTATAAAATTAACGAAGTAGGTTTTATTTTAATATAAGTTTTATTATCTAGATCTGTTAAACAAATTTATAATGAAAAAACTTTTTGCAAATGCAAATAGGTACAGGTCTTTTCCATGATATTTCACCGTATAATCCAAAAAAAATATGTAGTTCTAATAAAAATTGTTTAAAAATAAATGTAGTCTTAAAACTAATTATTATCACAGCAAAACTTGTAAATATTGTCTTTCTTATAGATGCCATTTCATATTCAACTGCAGCCGCCGATGTGCATTTAAGATGAAACCATCCATTATGGTTATAACAACTAATATTGTTTAACTCGTCATCCTCAATGTCAATCCAAATAGCCCTTCTATAACAATTTTGGCAGCGTTCCTTGTTTTTAGCAGGTTTTCGTTTTAATTTTAAAGAAACTTTTGGTTTTGCTTTTTTTTATTCTTTCTTTGCGTTTTTTAACTGCTTTAGCTTTTTTCTGCTTTTATTTTATGTCATTAATTTCCTGTTATGCTTCAGGTGAATTTGCGGTAGGTGACCAGCCCTCACCCTCTTTTTTGACAATGTTTTTGCCTCTAAGCTAGTTTCATTACCATTTAGTTTTGAAGGGTTGTTTATATCATTTTTATTCTTGGTTTATACTTTTTAAGAAGCCTTTCAAATTGTTAAACCATTTTATTATGTTCTTCTCAGTGACTACTACCTTTGGTTTCAGCTTCTCTGATTGTTAATATCCATGATTTTCCTGGGCGATCATTTTTAATAGGTGTTTTTCTTTCACTGCCTTGAATTAGTTTTTGTACAGTATTTAGGAGGTCGTCTGTTTTTAAAAGCTTCCTTGTCAGGTGTTGAATATGGATTTGGACCAATTTTGGTTTTTCTCTAATTAACCTTTTACCCTTTAATCGATCGAGTATGGTTGTTGGCCGTAATCCATATTTGGCAGCTGCTTTCCCAATATTTAAGTTGTTATTACGGATGAAAGCTTTAGCTAAAATATCTGCGTCCATTATTAAAAAAAAAAAAACAAGAGGGTATAGAAATTTTTGTTGATAAATCAAATTAATTATGCAAAAAAATTATTTATCATAAATTAAAATGATAATTATTTTGTTCTCCATAGTTTAACAATTTTATATTTATTATAGATAATATCGAAAATTTGATATATTATCTGTCAAAATTTTTTATTTATCATACTTATGATTATTAACATAAAACTTTATTGGCGAACATAAAAAAAAATTAAATATAGCCCTGCCTTTAAAAACAAATAATTTGCGATAATTTCAGTTTGTAGAAATTAACTTTGATTACTCATTGAAATATTATACGAAATTCTAATACTAAGTCAAATTTATGTAACAATTCTTTATTCTATACGTATGTGTATATGTATGTACATATATTATTTAAATTTGATTATGTATGTATATAAAAAACAATATAATTAGTAAAAATTTG